AAAATTTTCCCCACCCGGGAATCGAACGTACGTCTATTATAGCAGAGGAGCCGATTTACACGCCTGCTGTTGTTTGGATTGCTTGGAATTTTTTAAATTAAAAAAAAAAGTTTTACGTCCCTATTTACACAAGTTACACCACCGAGGAGGCAGCATGCGAACTGACAGACGAAGGCGAATATTCCCCCCCCCCCTCCCCGAAAAAATCCCCTCCCCCCCCAACTCCAACAAAACAACAACAGTCGGCAATCGAACTCACACGCCTTCTATGTAACTAAAATGACGACCCCCCGAAAAAACAACAACAAACAAACAAACAAACAAACCAACAAAAAACAACCCCATAACAACAATTACAACATTACCCCCCCCCCCCCCCCCACCACAAACGACGTATAATTAAAATTAAAAAGGATCATGATATTCGTTTTTCCAGTAATTTTTAAAAATTCGCCCGTTTGGTAGTCTGTAAGCGGGGGTTGGCCGGGGCATTTATTTTTTTGGTTTTTTTTATTCCGAAGGTCCCCTCGTATTCCAGGGTGAGAGCGAGATAGAGCGAGAGAGAGAGAGAGAGAGAGAGAGAGAGAGAGAGAGAGAGAGAGAGAGAGAGAGAGAGAGAGAGAGAGAGAGATTCCTTCTTCAGAAAGGGGGGGGGGGGGGGGGGGTGGCATAGTGCCGGAAAATAAACTTTTGTTATGCCTCCTTTCTTTTTCCCAGCTCTATCGACGAAACGTTGAATTTCAAAATTATCAAAATGCTGTCATCTTTGTGGGATTGATTAGGTCTGTTTCTGTTTCAAACTGACGATAGGCCTATTATATAGGCATCATATTACTTTAATATGGAAACGAGTGTAACCTGGCCTATCTAGTGAATAGAAAAAGGAACAATTATATTTATAATTTTTCTAATGACCTGATAAATAATTGTGCTTTTGAACACACAGTACCGGGAATAATTGTCAACGATTTAAAAACTATAAGCATTTCATGAGTAGTTTTTTAAAAGTTATTGATAGTTTGTAAAAATATTTTGCGATCGGGTATTTGAACTTGTTTACCGCCACCAGTGAATGATAATATTATTATTATAGAAATTATAGGTTTGAGTCGGGCAGACACATTATGCAAGTCTTTGCTAAAGACTAGAATTCAGTTGATAAGCAGTTAACAATAATGCGGCTCAGTAGCCCCAGCTCTTTCACAAAAGTTGAAGTTTGAAAAATAAGTAAGACTGAAACTATTTTGAATCAACGTAAGAATTAAGGCATTAAAATAAAAGATTACGAGCCAGAATAAAAACAAGACGATTCCTCTGAAACGTCACCATTTTTAGTGTGTGACGTCACGGGTTCTTGCCCTGGAATATTATTGTGCAAAGTTCCCGGCATGCCCCGATAACCCCACCCAGCGCTGTCAGATTGTGTGTGCGCTTGCACTGTGTCTATGTCGGCACCAACACCGAATCCGACTTCATGTTTTCTCGTGTGAATTTCACGAAAGGGCGGCCTTTCTGCGCCCTATAGCCCTTCTTGGGGCTGGAGTAGGCGGAAAGATTTGTTTCTTATTCGTTTGGATGTTGGATTTATCATTTGTGATTGGATTATTGCTTCAAACTGGCAACATTAGCGACCGTTGTTGACAGCATGGGGTGCTTTCGGCAGAGCAGAGAAGACGAAGATGACAAACTCAGAAAAGAAGCAAACAAGAGGATAGAAAAACAACTTGCTAAAGACAAATTGTTGTACAAGGGAACTCATAGATTGCTGTTGTTAGGTTAGTATTGTTTCATTGTGTTGTTATACCTTCTGTTTGTCCTGAATCGAGATCCGACTTCGATAGATGTCATGCTATGAGACTCGTTTCTGTTTTCATTTCCTAATGAGCTTCCGTTCTGATTTCTTCTTTCAAGGTGCCGGAGAATCAGGGAAATCGACCATTGTGAAACAGATGCGCATTTTGCACGTCAATGGATTTAGCCCTGAGTAAGTCAATATTTTACTACTCAAATTTTGAAAGGTTATTCCTACTGTGTATCAGCCGTCAAGGCATTCTATAAGCGTATTATGTATGCGTGAATGATTCCAACCTCTGGAGCAAAAGGGGGAGTGGCTTAGTAATGGTGACAGAATCGTTAGCTAAATCTTTGTATTTATGTTTCTTTTCGTGAAAAAGCTTTACTACATAATCAACATATCTTTTTCAGGGAACGGAGACAGAAAATTGAGGACATTAAAAGGAATGTCCGCGATGCTATTTTGGTGAGTACATTTTCTGTGTTGCCTTTCACCCCCATGGATCAGTCCATAGTTCAAGATGGCGGATTGCATAGTTGCAAGATCCTGTTACCGAGTTTCAAGACACAGATTATGCACTGTATTGTATAGGTGCTTAGATTCCAATGATTTGTCCAGTCACAATCTATTTCAATGGTCCATTTCTAATATTTTATCTTGCGATAATGCTTTGGGGATTAAGCTAGTAGTGTTTTGCCATGGAAATTATGCTATAAAATACAGTCCTGCATACCTAACGCCTAAAAAAGAAGGCCCATTCCAGTCAGTAGTGTAGTAGTAGAGCTACTCTAGGCATAGGACTAGGAAGGATCTCTAGATCTAGAGTTGTTTTGTGAACATTTTTAAAAATTTGATGTAGACTGCCCAGGTAGAATTTGTCACTTGTGGTCCTGCTCAGAATCAGTAAAAGCTCAAATCAAGGGGAGTAGACCTGTACTTAACTCTGGGAATTACAAGTACCACCCCCCCCTCATGATAACATAAGAGGAAGGCCACGCAAAAGGTGGATCGAGGGTGTCAAGGAAACCCTAAGAAAACATAACATCACAACTGAAAGAGCTGCGGAGCTGGCCTACCATAGAAAACTGCATCTCCCCTCGACGCTTAACGGCAACAGAGGATGAAAAAGTAGAAGTAAAAGTAAGTAAGTGCATACGCTTTAAAATGCAGGTGGTGTGCGTCTGGCAATTTTCATTTCCCCTTTCTCTATCCCAAAGCCGAGTCAATGATTTGACAGCACGCCCACACACATGCTCGACAGTCACCTTCTGTGTCAGAAGAAGTCGACCTACTTATCAGCTGTGCAAAGTTCCCGGCAGCCCCGGCTGACTTCAGCACAGAAAGAAGCTCCGCCCACCTTCTGGTCACTCACATTTGCCGGTGTCGTGCCTTGAGTTTATCCCTGCCGTGAGATTATCCCCATCCTTCTTTAACACACTAGTAAACATGAATTGTCTACCATCGAAAGTCTGGAAAGACTGGAATGTGAACCCTGGGATGGCTCTGAAGAATAATGAATCAGTTTATTTTCTGAACCTGCCACTCATCCCTGCCCTAAATCTCAAGCATCCTGATTTTGATCGCGTGTACCCCGATTTTTTTTTGGTTTTTTGTTGTAGTGTTTTTCCGTCTGTTGGGCCGGATTATTATAAAATCTTACTCTGCCTTCTTTTCTGTCGTGGGAGACACTCGTTAAACTTTTTGTCAGCAGAAACTCTGAGCACTATTTTGCGAAATGTCTATGTCGAATTTTGTAGTTGACTCACCAAAAGTTGAATTGGATCTTTGCTCATACGTGATATTTCAACTATAATGGAAGTAGTATTGATTTGGCATTCCGACCTAAGACATTCTCAAGATCTACTTTCGCCAAACATGTTTTTTCCGAGTTCTGGTTTGTCGGGCCCGTCATCAAGACCCTTCAATAAAACTGTTTCAATCGTGCGTTAGCACCACGGGACAGGACTTCGGCGAGTGACTTCCGCGTGGGTTGGGGATCGTCCGTTGACGGGGTCGATTTAAGTTCAAGCACACCGTTAAAGCGTCTTTCTGGACGCTGGGAACACTTGGACTAGGAGACCTTGACGTGATACTTCAGGATAAAAAAAAATAAATAATGATAAACACACACAGGTGCGCGCGCGCACACACACACACACACACACGTGTGTGTGTGCAGCACGCATACCGCATACATACACATACATCACACACACATGCGCGCACAAAGGGAATATACATGGATATAATAATGAACACCCCTGGAAATTTTTTAAGTCAGCTTCACAGTGGTGACCTAGGTGATTTGTCGTTGATCCCGATTTTTTTCACCACCAACTCCCAATTTTTTTTCCAACTGAGATCCCAACTTTTAGATTTCATGGAGCGGCAGGTCTATTTTTCTTGGTGTATTAAGTCGAAATTGACCCCTATTGGTTTGTTAACTTTATTTTATTTTTGAAGGCCCAACTGCTCAACCACCACCACTCTTCCCCCCTCGATATGGACACAACTTTAATTCTAGTCAATATTACTCATCATTTATTTCTTAAGTTAATTAAAAATCATTAGCATTCAATCATAGTCATAGTCACTCTATGTGTATCTGTGAGAATGTGCGTGTGAGTTAAATGTTTACAAGCAAAAATTCTCACTATAAAATTATGAGATATTGACTTCTACCCTTTAAGTTTCTAAAACAAGGGTTTAAATACCCCTTAAAATAGTTAACCAAAGGGTGGAGGAAGCTCTTTCAAAAGTTGGTTTGAAAAGGGGAGCCCTGCATAGGGCCTACACACCCACACACACACACACACACACACACACACACAAACGCACACTTCTTGTGGCCTTTACACATACACACACAAACACCAAACTAACAGACAAACATACAAAGACAGTCGCAGCTTTTTTCTTGTTGTTGTTTCCCTTTTAAAAATAAGGGGTTTTTGTGGCTGTTGTATGCTGCTGTTTTGTGGTAATATATTTGTTGCCTCGACTGTACAGTACAGAAAGTCTTTGTGGGATTTTGCCACACTCTTGAAGTCCGCTTTCTCAACTGTTTCAGTTTCGATGATTTCTTCTTAAAGGCAACAAAATTTTCATCTTTAAACTTAGCAAAAGTTTTGTCAAATTCGCCTTAAGATTTAAATGCCTGCTCTATAATGCATTCCATCTCGTCAGACAACGCTGGGAGAAGGGGAAATGGTAGGCCTAGATGATGTTAGAGAAGATCTAATCATCAACGCAAAAGAGCTCTGTGTTCACTCTGTCACAATTAACGCCGCGATAGTTGTTACAGCGCCACTCTGTCGCAATTAACACTACCAAAAAGAAAACAGAGACATAAGTTATAAGGACAATTGATCATTGTCATACATCTAATCAAAGATAATGTATGTATGGTGCAGAAGCTGAAAATAACATAAATAATGGAAGGACTTCAATAACGAGCGACCACCCCATCAACGAAGGCCCCCCATCAAACACTATAAAGAAGAGGCCTTTACCCTAACCCTAACCCAATATCTACCCCTACCCCTAACCCTCAAATCTGCTCTGTCTCATACTCATAGTGGTCGCTCGTTACGGAAGTCCTCCCCCTAAATAATAAACACATAAACGACATCATGATTCAGTCTTTGTTTAGTAGGCCTAAACTTGGCTTTGTGGAAGAGATTTATAACGCTGAAAGCATTCTTCAGTGATTACAGGATTTCCTGACTAACCCTGTGAGCGTCTTTCTTTGTTTAATAAAGAGTTAAACTGTCTGGAGCATCCCTTTTGTCACACTTTGTGTATTCTCATCAATTCAATAGTATAGCTGGGCAAAGAAAGAAGCTGCTACTGCAACACCTGGATGGCCTTTAATTTTGAACAAACGATGGCTGCAGATTAGATCTAGAATTCTAGTAGTTTATTCTTTACGACAAAGCAGTCAGCTATCTTTGATCCTGCACAGTGATTGAAGATAACACAACAATAACACATTGACACCAATCAATATCGCGAACTTCTTAATTAATCTCACTTTGTCACATAGAAAAAAGACTCCCAAGCCCAAGATAAGACAAGACAGGAGGATGGGGATTTAAATAACAAAACCATGAAAACTTAAAGTCATACAGCTTATGGCACTAAATATAAAGCAACACATCTAAACTAAAGAGCATACCTGATTCATAAAAGGAGGCAAGCGGACCAAAAGTATCACATCATTTTTCAATGTTTACAATCATCAGTCCTGTAGTGAAAGCTGACCGACTGAACCCAGTCAATACAGACCCTTATTACTTCCGGAAGGGAGAAGATAACTCGTGGATACAACAACGGAGAGGGGGACGTCTGTACTCAAAGTAATCAAACTACTCTCTCTCTCTCTCTCTCTCTCTCTCTCTCTCTCTCTCTCTCTCTCTCTCTCTCTCTCTCTCT